TTTTTTTTTTTTGCGGAAAGGTCGTGTCGTTACGTTCTTTCGTACTTGGGCAGAAAGAACGGGGGGGCTGGATGGACAGCAGCTAGCGAGGCGGACGCGAATGAGATCTGACACGTGGTGATGTGCGTGGGAACTGAGTCTTTTTGGCGTCAACGGTAGAGGTACACTGGGGCAATAGGGGTCCACGGCCAGCTCGGGTCATCTCACGAGACGCGTTCAAGAGTTTCCGATGAAGAGAAGTGTCGTCGAGGGGAAGGTGCTCGTCGACTCATTTCGGCAATCATTCCACGCCTCTACGCAGGCCCCCTCTTGCGCATCGAGATCTCATCCTTGCCTGTTACGGGAACCCCAATGGCAGGAAGCTGCCCATCGCGGATGGCGAAATCGCCACCGGCTCGCCTGATCACTTCGAGGCATCCGCGTCCGAGCAGAGCTGGATGTTGACAAGGACTGCCCGCAGGTTCTCGGCCTTTGAGAGTCTCAACCAGAGAGAGCGGCACGGATGCGTCCCTCTTCCCTCGCGCCTCCTCCGGCGACTTGGTGGCGTTGGGATCGTCGAATCCAGAAGAGCGCTTGACGAGCGCCTTTTCGCCCACTCCATCACGGTGGGAAGGAGGTAGTAGATCCGATCGACGTGCTAGTGGAGGACACCCTGCCACATTCGCGCAGCCAGTGGGGCAATATTGAGAAGCGCCATGACAGAATGGTGGCACTGCTCGACGCCGGATAGCAGGAGGATTCGGAGGGCATCCATCAGATTCCGCACACCCGGCTGTACGGTAGTCAGGACGATGTGAGGCGCCTTGAGCATTCGGGGCTACTTGGCGTGCGTTGCCTATAGCCCAGGAGCGCCCTTTGAGGTGTAGCACAACTAAGTAGGAGAGCCTGCTACGTTAGATGGCGGTGATGATGATACACGTCTGCTTCACGCAACTCACGCTCGCGTTCGTTCAATTCCACCTTGGTCCCCGAGCGCGATGTTTCCAAGGGAGTCTCGCGCGTCCTCAATTCGTGGGATTCTGGACACTTGCCGAAGCCAGCACAACCTGCTGGGCAAGATGGGTAAGCACATTCGCCGCGCCGATTCAACGGTATGAAAGCGGCAGAGGCGGCCGGATAGCGCTGTGTGTCTGCGGTGCGGCGTTGTAAGCTCGTTTCGGTAGTGTCTCGACGGCGACCGGATGCTGACTTCGGGCATCCCGCGATCCCGGCACATCCGCTAGCGCAATTGTCAGGACCGTGGCATCCCAACGTCCCAGAAGGTTTTTGTCTGGCCTGAATAGCCTCGGCGGCGCAACCACCCACACCTTCGCATGCAGGTCCGCAGTTTGGTGGAAAGCAGTACGTGGGACTCAGTGGCTGTCGTTTGGCTAGTCGCGAAAGTGCTGTGGATGCCGCAATCTCCAGGTTACGGGGCCTGAGCATAGATTCGGGGCAGCCACCAAGACCCTCGCATCCTGGTCCGCAGTCTGGCGCAGCGCAGTACATAGGACCCAGTGGTTGTCGCTCGGCCAGTCGCGAAAGTGCTGGGGATGCCGAACTTTTAGCAAGGTCACGAAGTGCAACTTTGGGGCAGCCATTGACACCGGCACAGCTAGGTCCGCAATGAGTGGGAGGGACGCAGATGGTCACCCCCGCACTCGGGTGGCACGGTATCACGCAACCTGGTCCACAACTTTTGGGAATGTAGGCGGTCGCGTCCTCACGCTCCACTAGATGCATCGGCTTGGAACTTGACGCAGATGCGTCCGTTGGGCTTCTGTTGGTCAAGCTTGTGATGATTGGTACAGAGGCGAGAGGTTGAGCGGACGCCTGTGTCGCGGGGATGCAATTTCCTTGGTCATCGCAGTCGGGGCAGCCGATAGGACATTCAATCAAGCGCTTGTTTGCTCGCCCAGCGGGCTCGCTGCGAGGCTGAAGCAAGCTTAAGGCATCGGTTGGTGCAGCAGGATTTGTCTCACGACTACGACGCAATGCAGCGCTGGCATGAGGCCGACAGTTTCCTGACACGTCGCAGGTTGTCGGGCACAGGTCCGGACATTGTCGACGCTTCTCTAGGCCTGCACTGCCCGGAATTTCTGCTGCGTCGGATGTTTGGCGGGTCTGCAGATCGTGAGTCTGTTCGCCAAGCGGTGGCTTGATACATTCCCCTGTCTCGTCGCAATTGTTGGGACATCGTCGAGGGCATGAGTAGATGATACAGATCCCTTTTTGGTCGCAATCCTTGGGACAATCCGGTGGACATTTTGCGGCTTGGGCGCGCTTAGTCAGAGAGGCGGTAGGCGGACACTCTCCGGCAGAATTGCAACTGTCTGGACACTCCTCCGGACACTCGCTAATGACGCCTTGACGCTTCACGAAATCTGGTGCAAGGCCTGCCGCGTCGGATGTTGCAGGAGCCACGCGGAGCTGGACAGTCGGACACTCGCCATCCCGAAGGCAGTTGTTCGGGCACTCTTCAGGGCACGTGGGCACGCCTTTACGCTTGACGAAGGCCGTGGGCTCCCCGGCTGGCGTCTCGTCGATGGAATGATTGATGGCGTAAGCGGGCGGAGGTGGGCAATTCCCATATCTGTCGCAATCGTGGAGGCAATCTGGCGGACATACGTAGGTATGGACGCGCTTCCCCAGATACCCGATCGTCGCCGCAGTTGTATCTTTGTCCTCGCTGCGCCTGATCACAATCGTGTTGGTGGAGTGACACTTGCTAGGCGATATGCAATTTTCGGAAGCCTCAGGAGGACAATCCAAAAAGTCCTGGTTGGGGCGCTTGGCTATGGAGGCAGGCACGCCTAGCGTACCGGGCGGTGGATCTGGACATTTTCCGGTGTTCTTGTCGCAAGTGTAGAAGCATTCCGCAGGGCAAACAAAGACGTGTTGACGCTTGATGTTTGCGAGTTCCTCAGATGAGGCGCCATCCTTAACGCTTCGACCTTGCACTGTCTCGGCTTTTGCCAGGCAGACCGTGGGACTCTCGCAGAAGTTTGGGCATTCCGGAGGACAGTTCAAGATATAGTCTGGTTGTGCCGAAGATGCGCTTGTGTGGATGTTTTCAGAGAGCACGCCACCTTTTGCAACATCGTGAGAATCACCAGAAGGCTTGATACCGCTTGCCAGCTCTAAAGACGCGGCGCCATCGTGGACACTTCGACCTTGCACAATCTCCCCTTTTGCCAGGCAGACCGTGGGACTCTCGCAGAAGTTTGGGCATTCCGGAGGACAGTTCAGGATATAGTCGAGTTTATTCGACGATGGGTCTGTGTCGATGTTTCTGCTAAGCACTTCGATTTGTACAGGAGAGCTTGTAACACCGAGCGTCGTCCTACGAGTCAGGGTGGCCTCGTAATTTGCTGCATTGAGAAAGTTGCAGCCCTCAAATTAGAATCATCGCGAATCCAAATCGACGTAATTCATGGCCACCAACGTAGGGACTCACATGGCGGTCCGGTCTGGCGACCAACTGTTTGCCGCGCAATCAGATTCGATGGCGCGCGAGCGAGACCCGGGCAATCTCCGAGTCCAGCACATACCTTGGGACAATTGGGCATCAGACAGGTCGGCGCCCCCGAATCCCGCGGCATCAGATCGAAAGGCCCGTTAGCAGTCGGTAGCTGAAGCCTCCTGAGTTCAAGAGGTTCATCTTGGCGCGCCCGTTCATGTAAAGAGCTTTGCGATGCCGCGCTGTCTCCGGCTGCACATTTGCCCAGCCCCAAACACCGGTTCGGGCAGGGTGGAAAGCACTGCGCCGGATCTTGTCTCCGTGTCAGGCTGGAAGGCATGGTATCGGGCGGCTGTGTCTGACTTCTGACCTCAGAGAGCTCATCCTGGCTCGCACGTCGGCTGATGGTGATCGATGCCTTGTCAGAGCCCAATAAAGTCGAAGATGTCGAGCCCGCAGCTCTCTGCTCAATCGTGCTTGTATCAATTCCGCCGTTGCTCCTAGCAACGACCCAAGGGCCGCCTGAGCAGCCGCCCATTCCGTCGCATCCTGCAGGACAATGCGGATAGCCGCAGTCAGTTTCCGGAATAGGTACCTTGCCGCTGACGTCGACGGTCGCTGCTGATATGCCACGGGAAAGGCGTTCGCTTTGAGAAGAGTGAGAGTCATCTTCGCTCCTTCGAGGGATCGGAGGGCCTGGATATTGTCCAGGACAGCCCCCCTGCCCTTCGCAGCCTTGTGGACACAGTTTAGGCCAGGCACAAGAAAGTGACCGTTTGAGCAATTTCGCCGCTGCGGGTACGTTGGCAACTTTAGAAGGACAGCCGCCTTTCCCTTCACATCCCTCGGGGCACTGCGTGGGGAAATCGCACTGGGTGGGGTTCGTTGGGCAACCGCCTTTGCCTGCACATATCTCGGGACACCATACGGGATAGTGGCAGTAAGACATGTTGACCTGGCGTTTTGCAAAGGCATTGTCGGTAGACTTTCGACCGGTGACTGGCGCCGGCAACACCATCGTTGCGCCGCCATCGCTTTCCTTTGCCTGGCGGTTGGTGGGCACACTTGCGCGTTCTTGTATGGAGACGTCCAAGGCATCAGGCTCGGCTGCGAGAGCTAAAGCGTTCACGACTGTGAAGCCCCTCCGCTCGGCCTCTGACGGAGGACAGGGACAATTGTGTGTGCACTTGCACTCTATAGGGGCACAGTTGAGAGTGAGGCAAATGCTAATGCCGATGCTTCCAGAAATGACTGGTCTGATGATCAGGCAGAAGGCGAGCAAATAGAGGAAGCAGATAGGCCGCATGATGAAGGGTCGAGCTGCGGCGAGTCGCATGATGATGAGTGAAGCACAGCACAGCACTTTGGAATCACAAAGGTTGCTGAGAATCGAGGTTGAGGACGAGAGAAAAAAGCCAAAGGAAAGCGGGTGGTAGTGGGAAGGTGGAAGAGGAAGAGGCAAGCGGCGGCCAGATCAAGAGCCTTACAAACCTCGACGAGGAGCAGACGGACGAAGGTGAAGATCCCCGAATGTGCTCTTTATGTACCCTTCCGAGTACCAAATATCGCATGAGCCACCCAGGCTACGGATGCGCAGCTTGAACTGTGAGGGACATGGCTTCTGCATACCCACGATCACCTCTTGTGACGTCGGCGCGTCTGTCTCTCCCTTCTCACGTTATTCAACGGCAAAGCACAACCTACTTGCAGTGGCACCCCATCGAGCCCGCAGCATTGGAGCATACTATCGACTCGGAAGAACGCTTCCGTCGACCTCTCACCAATACAGGCACAGACGATACGACGACCTTTGCGGTTTTGCATCATCGTGAGAGAATGGCGTTTGGGAAGATCGAAGTGCCTCGAGTGCCCGGATGGAAGAAGGTTGCGGGCGATGTCGATGGCTCTTGCATCGCTGCTGGCGCGGGGCAGACGTGGCGCTGCATAATGACTTGAGCTGTACCGATGTGCGAGCTCGAAGGGTGGGAAACCCATCCAATCGAGCGCGCAGTACGTCTATCAAACGTCCCGAGAACTTGCATTCGAACCGGGGTGCCAATTTGCGCCTCTTGCACTTTCTGGCTCCTGGATCTCACTTAGGAGCTGCCGATGCCGGCTAGCCAATTTCGATGGAGAGTTCTACACTCGTGCTGGGTGTTATCGCCATTGACTTGCCTATCTCAAGTCGCAATCACGGCTGCGCGCCACTCTTGCTAGCCACATTTGTGGTTGACTTGTCCGTCTCACGTCGCAATCACAGCTTCCCTCGCCCTCGATAGCCAATTAAGCTTGCCTGTCTCTCCTTGTCATCACTTCTTTGTCAATCTTGAGCCGAGCATCTTTTATGGCAGCCGTGATGTTGGTGGTGCAGAAGCTGGATCGATTCACCGTTGGATAACGAGGAGGTTATGATAATTGATTACTTGACTCAGATCAATCGTAAATCAGACTCAGACTCGTGTGGGGCCGCGTGTTTAGATGCGCGCGTGCAGCGTGCAGCCTGCGCTTACAATCGTGAATCGTGAATTGTGCCCTGCATGCGCACAGATACCGCGACATCCGGCCTGCGTCTAGCGATGATAAAATTTTGAATTTTGAATGCTGATTCAAAGCTGAGTTAGGAAGTCAAGATGACAATTAAGAGGCGCACTCAAGACTGAGACATTTTAATGAAACAATCGTGAATGATCGAAATCATCATCATTCTTGATTTTAGCAGAGTGAATCCAATCTTCGCTCAAAGATCTGAATGAGATCCTTATTCAAGATCATCATCGTCCCGCCTCGCATTTTGAAGCTTGCACCGAAAATCTTTAATTGGAATCCTCAGTGAGCGCGTCGTACATCGCGCAGGTCCCGCATTCAGAAAACTTCTGCAAGTCGATCGAGTTGATTCATGACATCAAAATAGCTATCGTTCAAGCGGATACATGGCTTGCGGACTAGTGACTGAAGGTGAGTGGAGTCTCGGCGGGGATTCGCGGCTGAAGGGAGACGTTTGGCAGTCATTCTGGAAGTCTTCTTTTCGTCACTTGAACCAGATATGTTTTTAGATAGCTGATTGACATTACGTGGCTGAGATCGATTCAGATGTGTCGGGTTTTCGGTCCTGGCTAGTGTAGAACCTCGCTTGAGACGCAAAGGAAGGCACTTGTCCCTTCTCAGCAGCATTGGCAACCACCGTTGGGGGGAAAGCAGCAACAGGTCTCGCATTCGATGCACTCCGCCGGCAGCTGCCTGCGGTCTAGCCTCGCGCTCTTTATCGACGGAAGAAGCTCGCTTCCTCTCGGGACCAAGTACCGAACATTGACGGTCGAAGATAGAGCGCTTCGCTTCCCGTGATTAGGACAGCCGCCCTGTCCGGCACAGTGACCGGGACAATAGGGTCCACTGGAGAGAGGATAGCCACAGGGCGGTGCCTTCGAGGGATTGTCGTTGTCCCTGCCCGCCAAGCGATCGGGACCATCGATGACCAGCGACTGTTCCCTGGAATCGACCGATGGAACGCTTCGCTTCCCGTGCTTAGGG